TTATTATTACTTTTATTTTATAGATTCATAAAAATCTTAATTTGAACTAAACTACTATTAAGAAATTGATTAATCTGTTAATGATAATTTAAATATATCATCAATAGTATCAGAATCTTATTTACCAGAAAATTCTTATAATATAGGTTTTTTTATGGATCGCTAATTCTAAATTTAATGAGTATCGTAATAATTATTTTTACTAATAAAATATCTGTAATCTTAATCATCAGATTAATTGCCATATTATATTAGACTATGTTATCTTTTATCTTCATATACTGATTCAGCAGTCTGACAATCTGGATTCATCTTAGAAGATGAAACAGATTTCAAAGTTTATACTTTTTGATTACTCATCATTATGTCTAACTTTTAATCAAATTTTAAATGTAGTATACTTTTATTTATTCTATAGTATTTAAATGTTTCTTTAGTTCCAATTTTCCACATTTGCATTTATTTAACCAGTCTAGAATTTCTCTATTTGTTTTCATTTTTTTAACGTAACAATTATTTAATAATTATTTATATTATTTTATAATCCACTAATATAAAAGTAAACTAGATTCTTTTATTATATATAATGCTAAATGATAAACTATTAATCAATAAATCAATAAACAAATTAAACTTATCTAATATAATATATATCATAATGAATTAATAATATTTTTATTATTTTTTATATAAAAAATACCTCTAATATCTATCTTATATAACAATTAAAGTCAAAATTAAAAATAATTATTACTTATTTTGTTATAAAAATTATAATCATTTATTTTTTACATTTCATGTCAAATTTATATGTATTCAACCCTTAAATCATTTTAATTTTGAAGATCATGTTTTTATAATAAAAATTCTTTAATATATCAATTATCATATGTTTAAATCATTAGAATAATTGAGATGCTTTGAAATCTTAAGTACAAGATCTCTCTTATTAAAAATACGAATAAGTAGAATGATAGGTTCTTTAAGAGGAACCTATAATATATGAAATTCATTGATCTGTAACAAATTCATCACTCAAAATTCATATATTATAAATCCGTTTTTATTAATATGTAAAAATTATATATTTTAGCACTCTTATTGGTGATCATAACAGCTCAAGAGAGTTTCCTTGAAAAATAAAAGCACGTTAAATAATAGAAGGATTTATCAACTGAAATATATACAATTAAAAAAAAAGGATTACCTACCTTTTTAGGAAGAAGCACAGATGAATCAATCAAAGAATAATTGTCATCACTTTTGAATTACGAAGAAGCATTATTATTAACACCTACTGAAGAGACTGATCATACCATCAAATTCGTTGAATCTATGTTTATTATTGATCAACCAAATCCTAATGCAGTAAGAGCAACAGAAAAACCTAATTATTCATTTGAAGAACCTAAACCATAAAAGAAAGTTTATAGCAACGAAAAAATTACATCTTTTAAGGAGGGTTGTATTTATGTTTTTAGTGAATGCAATTTTAAAGGAGAACATGCTAAATCATGTCCAGGAGATAATGTTACATTTTTTGGATTACCATTTGAAGTTTTATCTATTCATGTACCAGAAGGAGGATCATTGAGTCTTATTTAAGAAAATGGAACAACTGCATATACAGTTTCCAATAAATGTATGAGAAGTAGACCAATTGAATTCCTATTTGTCGAAGGGGCAATCAAATAATCATTTGGAAATGGCGAAGCATTCATTGACTAATGAAAATCAATATATATTCATAAGAAACATGATTTTATTTTTGAAAAAGCAATTCTTCCCAAATATAAATTATTAATCTCTATATTTTGATAAAGAATCTAATCAATTGAAAAATTTGAAAAGCTTATAAATTCTTCCCCTTTATTCTGATCTTAATAGATACTTTATATAAATGCGAGTTCAAAAACAATTTGATCTTTAAGATTAATTAAAAAGGCATTTAAAAGGTAATTTATAATTTATGATATTTTTCTAATAAACATTTAGATTTACAATTGACTTACTTGAACACATGTAATTAAAAATTATAGCATAATATTAAACTTATTTAGATATATATAATGAATCTAAATAATTTATTAGAATCAATATTGAATTGTTTTTAATTTATTAATAATTTAACAGGTTAGGAAATTCAAATTAAAAATGTAAAAATCTACAACATTGGCAGATTTCACTATTCTTTAGAAATTAGGAGAAGGTTCTTTTGGATAAGTATTTAGAGTAAGATAAATAATATTAATTAGGTTAAACGAGTGAGTGATTAATAAGAATATGCTATGAAGAAAGTGAGAATTAACAATTTAAAGTAAAAAGAAAGAGAGAATGCTTTGAATGAAATAAGAATTTTGGCTTCAATAAATGATGCACATATAATTGGATATAAAGAAGCATTCTTTGATGAATTATCAAATTAATTGTGTGTCATAATGGAATTTGCAGCAGGAGGAGATATATCTAAATAAATTTCATCCTACATTAAGAAATAAAATTAAATAGAAGAGAAAGAAATTTGGAAAGCATTGGCACACATGACATTAGGTTTAAGAGTATTACACAAGTCTGGTATTTTGCATCGTGATTTAAAGAGTGCTAACGTATTTAAATCTATAGATGGTTAATATAAGATTGGTGATTTAAATGTAAGTAAAGTTTCACATGGAGCATTAGCGAAAACCTAAACAGGAACACCTTGTAAAATTATTAAATTAATTAGATTATGCAAGTCCAGAAGTATGGAGAGATTAACCTTATTCTTCACCTTCTGATATATGGTCTTTAGGATGTGTTATTTATGAAATGGCTACTTTAAAACCTCCTTTTAGAGCATAAGATGTTTAAACCTTATTTAAAAAGGTATCATCAGGAGTTTATGAAAAAATACCAAAATCATATTCCAATTCACTAAGTGCAATGATTAGTTAATTACTCAAAGTACCTGCTCATTTACGTCCTACTTGTGATTAGATTCTCTCTGATCCAAATGTTAAACCATTTGTCGAATAATATTGTTAAATATAATCAGGAAATACTCAAGGAGAATTACTTCAAACTATTTTATTACCAAAAAATCTTAAATAATTATAAGCTAAACTCCCTAAACCAACTTATGAAACAAATAAAAATGAATATGAATCAATTAAACATCCTCCAAAATCTACAAGATCGGCATCTGTAAATGAAAGGAAAGGATCTCCAATTTAAACTCCTTAAATTCCTAAGAAGGATGTTTCTAAACCTGTATTTTATTTACTCACTAATATAAGCTCATACCTCCTGGATTAAGAAATAATTAGTTACATATTAATCCACCTATTCGTTAATCTAGTTTAAATAGACCAAGTTCTTCAGTTAAAAACTTAAGTCCTGCTCCTATCAGAAAATCTATTGAAAAGTAAAACCTTAATACTTTGAAAAACAAAAGTCCTTCTACTAAAAGAATTTATGACAATGAAAATGTAGACAGAAGTAACATAGGTTCAAGAAGATCATATTAAAATATAAAGAATTGATATTCTATTAATATTATATTATACTTCATAAGAAGTATCAAAATATATTCTATCTACATACTTCATAAGAAGTATGGTAAAACACTTTTTGGATTAATACTCTTAGCACTTTCAGGTACTTCCTTGAAAGTCTTCCAATTTTAATTCAAATTTTCATCCAAACATAAAATTGAAGCTATGTTGCCACATCTATAACAATAGTTTGGTGCTGACCACACTGTTACTAAATTTTAATCCTAGATATATTAAATATATCATACAGGGAACCAATACTTGTATCCTTCCATAACTAATTAATGTGCTCTACATATTAAAGTAAGATCATTTAGTCTGCAAAATTCTTTTGTAACTTTTGCTCCAAAGAGAAAACCAGCTCCTCTTGAATTAACAGCCCAATATTCAACTTCTTCAGGATCAGACCACATCAGATCACAAAAAGGTCCTTCATGAGGAATTTCAATCTAAAATGGGAGAAATTATAATTATTTAAATATACCTTTCTATCTATTGTTCTTATCTAATCTATTGTTCTCATATCTGGAGATAAACCACCATGAACACATAATATTTAACCTTCGATTAATGCACCTAAAGGTAAACAGTCAAAAACATCCATAAATAATCTCCATGGACTGCTGTTACCATATTTACGAAGTAACTCTTCATAAAAACCATAAACTTATGTGCATTAACGTGATTCATGATTTCCTCTAAGTAACATAATATTTCCAGGGTATTTTACTGAGAATAATCAAAATAATTACCTTTTAAACATAATAGATATTCCATAGTTTCAACTGAATTATACCCTCTATCAACAAAATCTCCAATAAATATATAATTTGATGAAGGAATGTCTCCTCCTTCTTTCATTAAAGCTTATAAATCATAGAATTGTCCTAAATAGTTAAACAATCCTTACCATGAATATCGCCACAAACATTCACAGGAGCTCTAACTGGTTATATATTTGATTCTTCAAGAAAGATTTCTTTTGCTCTGTCACAAATTAATTTGAGATCTCTTTCTGGTAAACATCCACCATTCAAAAGTGTTGCAATATGTCTATCAATGTCCATTTTTCAAAAATTATAATTAAAATAATGCTCTATACATTTTTTATTATTTAGTTAAATAATTAAAATTAGAATCTTTTCTTTAATTAAATAAAGGATTTTGAACAATAAATGAATTATTTAGTTGTAACATGATATATTCTCTTAGTAATCATATAATTAATAATTTAAAATCTAAAATAATAATATATCTCAATCATTTGCTAATATCATAAAAATAAATATCTTAAAGCAAACATGGACGACAATAAAGATCTATAAATAATTTTTGTTGATAATTCTAATGTAGACAATATTAGTTTGATTTTAAAATATAAAACTAACCAATTCTATACATAAAATATTGGTACTATATGAATGGATATGTCAATTGATAAGCATGTTAAAATTGATAATAATTTATATGATGTTGCTATTTGGAACACTGCTGGTTAAGAAAGATCTTAATCTATTGTGAAAATTTCATCTCAATTATTTAAAGGCTAAATCATTAATTGAACTCTCTTAATTCTTTGATATGCTAAGATTTAAGTGAACCTTTGTCATTTGATAGTGTAGCATCTTGGATTTAATTCTTAAAACCTGAAGGACCTTAATATCTAAAAATTATAATCGTGGGTACTAAAAAAGATCTCAAAAGTTCAATATACATAAGAAGAATTTAAATAAATATCTAATTCCTGGAAAGTAAATTTTTCAAAATGAATTTCCAATTATTTAACTTCCTCAAATTATGATTCCAATTTAGAATAATAATAATACACTACTAGTTTAAATATAAGTACCTCCTACTTATTAAAGAGTTAACAGTTATCATATCATAAAACAGAAGCAATAATTTCAAATACAACTACTCTCATAGAAAGCTATATCAATTAAAATCAGACTAAAACTACTCAACAAAGTTGTTGTTGAATATATTTATATAATAATTAATAATGAACGAAACACTTAAACTCGTTCTAGTGGGTTAATAAGGAGCAGGGAAAACAAGTCTGTTACAATCTCATAGATAACAAGAGTTCCGAGCTCATAATGCACCAACAGTTGCAGTTGACTTTTCTGGAGTTAAAAATGTAGAAGTAAATGGTAAACTTTTTGATATTTCAATATGGGATACAGCTGGTTAAGAGAGATTTAGATCAATAACTAGAATGTCTTTATAAGTATAAAAATGAAAAGAAATCATAGAATACTAATGTTGCAATTCTTTGTTTTGATTTGAGTGATCCTGATTCATACAGACATATTTAAGGTTGGCTTGACTTTCTTCATGTTAATTGTAGTTCTGAAATGGAAATTATAATAGTAGGAACCAAGATGGACTTACCAACCTTTTATAATAAAGAAGATCTATAAAAATTTATCTAAACCTTAAATTCATAAAAGTAGTTAAAATTATTTCTAACTTCTTCTAAGACTCGTGAAGGAATTGAAGAAACATTCTAATATGCTATTGAATAAGGAGCAAAAATAAAATTGAAATCTTCATAAATGGATAAATCAATTTTACTCATTCCACCTGATTAATAAAGTATTAAGAAAAAACAATCATCTAATAATAAATATTTTTAGGGTTGTTATTGTTGTTGACATTAAAGCATTGATTAAATATATATAGATTAAAATTAAACTAAATCTAATTGTCAAAAATTACATATAAGATTAGTCATTAGAAAAAATAAGTTTAAAAATTTAATATTTCCTTTTTCTATAACAAAATAAATACCGTTTCTTCTGAGTTCTTTTATAATTATAATGATATTAGTTATATATTTTATTAATTAATAATTTATAAATGACTGATCGAAAAGCTTGGAATTAAAAAGTAACAGCTAACATAATTAAATCTTTAGGAAGATTCTGCTATATTATAATTAGTAAAATAGTATGGAATCAAGAAATGGACAATAGTAGCTGAAAAGATGAAAGAACTCTATAGTTTATTTGGCCGATCAGGAAAATAATGTAGAGAACGCTATCATAATCATCTTGATCCTACTATCAACAAAGAGCCATGGAGTGAAAATGAAGAGAGAGTCATATTCATAGCCCACAAGGAACATGGTAACAAATGGGTAAAATACATAAACTATTTATAGGCTGAAATTGCGAAACTGTTACCAGGAAGAACTGATAATGCAATTAAAAATCATTTTTATTCAACTTTAAGAAGAAGTTTAAGAAGAATCAATAAACTAATTGGAGACAAGAACAGTAAATCATATAAGTCTATATATAGTAAAGAAAAGGGTACATAATAGATTAAAGATATAAAACCTGGAGTATTATCTAAAATTTTCATTTTGGCAGAGAAGAGTCCATCAGAATTAAAAGATGATCATATGAAAAAGCTTTGTTTAGCTTGTAAAGGATTACAAGACTCTATCTTAGAATTTGCTTAATCTAAACAAAAATCTTAAATCAATTAATTTAATGAAGATAAGTTCAAATAATTGATTGATAAAATAATGGACTTTAAGTATATTATTTTTTAATAATAGTGCTCTTTATACAAAATAAAGAGAAAGTAGATTAAAATTAAAAAAGAAGAATCACAAAAAAAGAAAGAGTAGAATCGATGATGATGATGATGACGATGATTATACAAGTGATTATAAATATGAAGAGATAAGCCATAAGTTTCCTCTAAAGAGATCTTCAAGATTGAATGCTAAAAGAAAAGTACTAGAATTAATATATAATCTATTAGCATATTGACAAAGAAGATTATATTGATATATGTCTAAGAACTAAAAAAGGACCATTGTATACAATATTAAGAGACGAGTTAGAAGTACAACAAGAGGATAAAGAAGTAGTATTATATTATATATAATTAGGAATAATCTTCAAATTACTAATAGTAATATGCTTATGAATTCCAAGGAACTAATAGTCCCAATAATCATTAATTCACTCCAGCTTTTCATGTATTAACTCCTAGATAAATATTCTTTTAAAAACATACTAATTAATATTAAGAGGATGGAATCCATAATGAAGAGGCTGCTATTAGTAAATCTAACTTTGTTCCTATTGTGATAACTAAATAATATACTTAGTATAAAGATAAGACACTTGATAATTTAGCTTAATAACTATAATAAAAGATTAGTAATTACTTAAAATATGATTTTAGATGCAAATGCTGATAAATATATTATTAATCACCAACAAGATTCTGATTTAGAAATTAACATTGGTGATGCTTTCGAAATTCCTAAGGACTATAAATCACCATCAAGTAAATTTGGTATAGGTGGTTATAGTCCAAGTGCATTTAGAAAGTATAGAAAAAATTAAGAATAAGGGATAGTTAACTTTATGATAACACCTCATCATTATAAATGAAATAAATTATCATATTATCAAAAAGATTATTTATTTCTTTTTTTATAGAGTAATATATACAAAAATGGAGGATTAGGATCAAATGTTATTAAAGAGCTTATAATTATAAGGAATATAGATATAAACACAATCTCTTCCTTAAGTAATACTTACTTTTATTGATAGTTAACATGTGAAGATTTGATATCTATTTTCTTATAATTTTTTCAATTAAGTGGAACTTAAGCTTTTGAAATTAGCTCAATTAAATCAATCAAGAGTTCATTTAGAAGAGTAGGTAAAATTCAAGAGATGCTTTATCCAATTGGTATTAGAATTGATATTCAATCTATTGTGAATCCTAATCCATAAGAGTCAAGAAAGATTATAGTAAGTTTGCTTTCGAAATTGAGTTAATCAAATAAAAAAGAAACTGGAGCTAAACATCTTACATTTGAAGAGAGATTATAAGAAGAGAAAGCTACATATAGGACAAATTAAATATAGAATTTCTTTCAAGAATGGGTTAATCCATCATTATGTGCTTTTCCAGAAGTAGAGCAAAGATTTCTTAGATTGCATGTGCTTAATATTATAAAGAAAGAGCCATTAATTAAATAAGTAGCCAATAAAGGAGTAAGAAAATATTTATATCACTCAATTGTTAGAGTTATGGATCATCATTTATAAAAGAAAGAAGTGGATTAACCATTGTAAGAGAGATTATAATTAATAAAGAAAATGAGGAGATCTGATGATCCTGAAGCTGTTTTAGGTTAATTTAAGGGATAGTTCTAAGCTGAAGCTGAAAAGAATGATTGGGAAGATATTTAGAAAGGGAATCGTTAATTGAAGAGAGCTATTAAATAATTAAAAGAAGAAGATAAGGAAGAAGAATAAGCAAGAAAATAAAAGGAAGATGAAAATTAAGGTTTATTTAATTTAGAAATACAATTCTAAGAAGAGGTAAAAGAAATTTAATAAGAAATATAAGATACTTAAGAAGCCAAATCAGAGATCAGTGCATTACTTGAAGATATTTAGATTAAATTAATAGAGCAATAAAAAAATTATGATAAATTATAAAAAAAGAGATAAAAATTGGAAGATGTAAATTAAAAATAATAAGATATTTATTCATAATTGTAATCTGATAATAAGGATAAATAATAAGAATTAGAAAGTGCTCATTCTATTTTATAATAAATTGAATCAAAAAAAGGTAATGATCCAGAAATACAATAACTTGAATAAGAAATTGAAAATATTAGGATTGAATGGGAAAAAGAAAAGATTTTATAATAAAATGATGCTGATGAATTGGCTTAATAAGTTTAAGATCGTAAATTAAAACTTGAATAAATCTAAGATAAAATGAGAAGATTATAAGAAGAAAATTAAATGATTAGAAATTAGGGAAGAGTTAATTTAGAATATAAAGAAAAATTATTAGTTGATCTTCAAAATTAGCCTAAAGAAATTGCAAGAAATCAATATATTAAAAAAATTGTAGATTTAAAAAATCAATTAGAAAAATAGAAAACAGAATATTTAAAATAAGCTAAAGAATTATCTTAATTAGAAGATTCATTATAATTTTAAGATAATATGATTAATAGATATTGTATTGAAATTGAAAATCTTATTAATTAAGATCCTAAGAAATCTGAAACAGTTGTTAAATAGATTTAAAAATAATATTAAGATTATAAAATTGTTTATAAGTAATGTGCTGAATTAATGCGTAATATTGGTGAAAAGAGAATTTAAATATATGATACAGAATTAAAAATGGAAGATATTTTACTTAAGGGATACAAAAAGAATGTTGAAAAACTTAGATAAGATTTAACTGATATTTAAGCAGAAAATAAAAATCTAGAAAAACAGAGAAAATGATTATTTATTAATGAATTTTAGAACATTATTAAATTTTAATATTAAATGACAGAAAAATATTGGTAAAGATATAAAGAAACTCATGATAAGGATCCTCTTAATACAAATGAATTATGGGTTAGAGTTAAGTAAGATTTAAAAAGAAGAGAAAAGCCAAAGCATCATCTTGAATTATATTCATATTGTAGAACTGAGAATCCTTATATAAAATAAATTAAGAGTTCTCCAAATATAACTATGGATACAGTTGCAGAACTAATTTGCAGATAATCAGCATGTGAATTATAATATTGTATGAGTCTTCAAAAATTGGCTGTGGAAAATAGCAGATCTAAAATAGAGTAACAGTAAAATGCAATCAAATAGTTTATAGGGATGTAGAGATCAATATAAAACAATGACGACTTGCATAATGAATGAAAAGAATAGAATAAAATCAAAAGAAGAAGAATTAAGAAATCTTGTATTGGGTTTACAATAACCAGAAATTAAATAAGAACCTTAAAAATAGCCTATTCTTAAAGAAGAACCTGTTATGTGATTAATAATTATTAAATTTATTATAATACAGAGAAATAGAAAGATAATTGCTTTTATTTAAGATTATTGATATAGTTAATATTACTATTATCTTTAAATTTAAATATTCTTAAGAAATATTTACTTCCGCTATTAAAATTTAATAAGCTAACTAGAAATATATAGAAATATATTAAATTATAATATTATTTTTTATTGTTAAGATGAAATTTAATCACATCTATATATTGTTTGTAAATATAATAATTAAGGTTCAATACTCTCATTTATTTCTGTAATTGATAAAAATCTATAGGAAGGATTTAAATGAAAATAAAAATGAAATTTTTAAATTTAACTTTATGCAATTTGATTCAACTTTTAATAATCTTCTATAATCAAGATACTTAATGATATTAATAGAATATATGATTATTAAAAATTTTTTCATATTATTTTTTCATTTTATGCCTATTTTCTTTCTTTTTCTTTTTCCATTAGTTCTTACTTATCCTATATAATTCTCTTCATAGGACCTTCTACAAAATCTTATAATTGTTAAATTGACATCTATTAATATAAATAAATTAATACTTTATCCAAAGTTGAATGCTCATTAATATAACTTTCAAAACCTTTAAAGTATAATTCAAATCCATCATTTGAAAGAGTGTCTCTTAATACTTAACAGGATTACTAGTTGTTAAGACTACCTACATTATTTGTATCCCTTTTAAGAAAATATCTCTTAACAATAGATTTACACATTTCTACTCCTTAATCTAATTATAAGAAATTAAACCATTCCTAATATGATTATTTATTTAATTACTTTTAAAGAAATGCTTCCACTTTTATCTTTATCTAATTAACCAAATCTTTTTTTGACTTCTTTAATAATTATTCCTTCAAATCCATAAATTAAATAAGGTAATTCTCTTACAGATATTGTACCATCATTATTGATATCAGTTGCCTTGAATGCTGACCAAGCATAATTGATTTCATCCTTGACCCTATCAGAAACTAGTTTTTTTCTTTGAATAAGTTAGCTATAGCTCTCTTCAGCTTAATTAATATACTCTTAAATCCATTATTCTTAATTAGGTTTAAACAAAGCTTTTGAATTGAAAATCTCTTAAGTTCTTCTTTTAGCATTTTAAAATGTCTAAGTTAAAGCGTATTTTAATAAAAAATCCTAAAGTTGGTAATTGTTATCCAACCATGAATATAATTCTTCATATGATATAGTACGATCTAGATTTTTATCTATTTCTATGAAAATGGCTTCAACATAATATTCGATATCTGTAAATCCAGGTGGTTTCATATTTACAATTTTACATAATGCTCTGATTGCTGTTTAGAAAATCATAATAAGTTCAATCTTTTCAAGTTTTTAAGATTTATCCAAATCAAATACTTAGCTTATGTACTTAACTTTGGTGGCAAAATCGGTATCAGAAAAAATGATCTAATTCTAATTGAATCAATTACTAAAACTGCTTGACTCTCATAAATATCTGTTAAACCATCTGTACTATGATTATTTTCTAGGGTCTCAAACATTTCACCACAATGTTACTTAAGAATGTCATGATAAACATCAAAAAATTCCCCCAAAGATAAAACATTCGTTGCTGGATAATTTTATTGTACATATTTGGAAACTTTTTGTATTTCAGGCAAGTGGAGCTATCTTAAAAATTGTAATAATCCTTAATTAGGATTGGCTGGTTGATTAAAGTAGTTACCCATTTTATTTATTAATTAAAAAAATCTAATATTAAAGAAAACCAATTATTATCAAATTTAAAACAATATTCAAATTAACAATGATATGTTAACATTGTTATATAAAACAAACATTAAAATTCATATCTCAAATTAATTAATAATGTTTGATAATTTTAATTTAAATCAATCAAGCTTTCCAATAATTATATAATTTAGGAAAACTTTAAAGATGTTATATATATAATCAATCTTTAAAGAAAATTAAACTCTTAAATAATAAACTTAAAGATTTACTTAATATTCTTTAAAGATTGATTATAGAATCAAGAAATATACTTAGTTATTTTTTAATGATAGAACTTCTACTCTACATTTAGGGCTTTGTATAAAGATGATGAAAAAAATTAAGAATAAATATTCATATAAAAATCTATTTATTATTTCATCTCTTTTCTAAATTATTAAATTAGAATAAAAAATATCTTCTAATAAAATAATAGAAGAAATAAATATATTATAGATTTCAAATAAAACACAATAGATTTAAATTAATCAACCTTATTGATGAAAATTTATGTTAATAATATTCTTATAATCAGAATAATCTCAATTATGTTCTAAAATTAAAAGATTTCCTTAATTAAATTATATAAAATATAAGATTCAATTAATAGAGGATCTACATAAAGGACAAATTTGCTTCTGTTTTATCCAATTATCAATACATTCTTTATGAAAATAATGATCACATTAAAGCTTCACATATTTATTTGAAATTTTCTGTAAACAAATAATACATTCTAATTCAATTTCTGAACAGGCTTATTCATGTAACTAAATAGCTATATTTTCGATTGTTTAGGTTTGATTCTAGAATATTGGTAAATTTTATCTTCTTTATCTCCGAAATAATAGCAAAAAAACAAATTTAAAAAAACCTAGAAATGGAATTAAAAGCAATTATACTCGTCTAACAAAGTATAAGGTAATTTCAAAAAGGATTAAATTAGAATATGAATTAAGAGGTGTTTTTAAATATCTATAAATCTCATAAGGAGTTGATATGAAGAGAACAATCTCAAAACTAAAGAAAATTAAAGATGGATACATTAAATTTGCAATTTTAACCATCATAAAATTTGAGTGATAGAGGATAATGGTATTTTTTAATTGGTCAGAATGATAAGTTTATAGATTATCAAATGGTGCACTCCAATTATATACATCATTTTAAATCTACTTTTTATATTAGTAAATAATGTGTTAGTAATAATGGGTTAAAGCAATTCCCTTTGGTAATAAAAAAGTATATTTACTTAAATAAAAACTATTAATGAACTCTAATAAAATGTGTGTAACTTAATATCTTTCTGAATAAAGCAAATAGTTATAGAGTATACAATAACTTCAATATATTTGATAATTAAATCAATTTTATTATTTCTTATGATTTCACTTAAATTTTACAGGATAATTTACTATTAATTCATTAATTAAATTAATGATAAATTAACTAAATTAATAGTTGGAAAGAGTGGATGACTTAAAGAGTGCAGATATTTGTGCAGAATTCGAATTTGAAAATATGCCTAGGGAAATTTTGGGTAGAGGGACTTATGGGTAATAATTTAAATTGATATAATAGTAAGGTGTACAAAATGAAAAGCAAATTTGATAATTAATATTATGCTGTAAAATGCATTAAGAAATAAAATGAAAAGGAAGGAGTAAAATTTTATTATGATTTTAAGTTTCCTATTACTTCTTTGAGAGAAATTAAATTTCTTACTACCTTAGATTAAGAGAATGTAATAAAAATAAAATAGATTTATACAAGAGTTAAAAAAAATAAGAAAAATATAAAGACAATAAAAACATATTGTGCTATGGATTTAATGGCAAATGATTTTTGGAAAATATTATTTAGAAATGAATAATAAAAGTTTTATTTTACAACAAATCAAATTCGTAGCATTCTGTATTAATGTTTTAAGGGACTATAATACATTCATTCATAAAAGATTATACATAGGGATATAAAAAGTGCAAATATTTTGGTAAATGAAGAAGGAATAGTTAAAATAGCAGATTTTGGTTTAGCAAAGTTTTGTCCAAAAATAGAAGGAGTTAAAAAAACTCCTACAGTTGTAACATTAGGTTATAGAGCACCTGAAGTTTTATTAACAAGAGGATAATATTCCTTTTAATTAGATGTTTGGAGTATGGGATGCTTTGCTGCTGAATTAAATTTCAATAGACCATTATTTAAAGCTAAAGATGAGGCTTAATAGATTTAATAAATATTTGAAAAATGTGGAACACCTACAGCAGAAACTTGGCCAGAGATTATGAAATCAGATTACTTTGTTAAATTAAATCCTTAAAGATGTGATAGAAAGTTTATTTCTTCAATTAGAAATATGAATATGGCATTTGATGATGAATTGCTTGATTTACTTGATAAGATATTTGTTTTAAATCCAAATGTTCGGTTAACAGTTGAATAAGTACTCTAACATCCTTTCTTTACTAATCACAATCTAGAACTATGTTTTGATCAATTCAAAGAATTTATTTTGAAAAGAAATATAACATAAGAAAAAGTAGTAACGCGTGTTTATAAACCTATATAAGAAGAAATACAATTTGTAATATGATAAATTTTATACGGTATTACATATCATGATCAAATCAATACTTTCTACTCCAAGGATTATCATCTGGTATTTCTGATTTTGGTGCAAATTGATTAGCTTTTGCTTATGGATTCTATTCAAAGTATTTCTTAGCTTCTTCATATATTTGATAATCTTCTGAATATTTTTACATATCTAAGGATTAAAATGATTTAATTACTCTCTGAAAATTAACTTAAATCTTATTCATATTAATCCTATTGACTTTACAAATTTTCTGAATCCATAAACATAGGTGGTTATTATTTCATAAATACTCTTTATTCAATAAATTCTTCATCTTCATATTCTAATGGGAAATTCAATTCAGCAATTTTCTACAATGCTTCTTCTTCATTTCCTCTTTATTATTTTAATAATCTTTCATCAGTGTCTATAACAATCTAATTCGATAGGATGGGTCATCATACTTATCTGAAATTCTTTGATGTCTCCTCCCCATGTACTTAGGCTAATTCTAGTAATTCTTATTTATATTCTCTCAAAATCTATAATTCTTAAGGAGTAATATCTCTTAAATATTTAGCTGGAGATCCTGCCCATACTTCTCCTTGTTTGACTTCTGTGCCTTCTGGAACAAGAGAACCTGCTGCAACAATTCCTTATACTATTGCACCTTCTTTAATCGTTGATCCCATGCCAATAAATGCATCATCACCTATTGTACATCCTTATAAGTTAGAATTTGGCCCAACAAAAGAGTTATTACCAACTGTTATTGTTTTGGTTGCTTTTATGTATACATTATCCTATATTAATGCATTCTTTCCCACTGTTATTGAATTATTATCTGCTCTTAATGTTGCCCCATACCAAATTGATGAGCTATCAAATCAATTACCCAACCTTACTTTTATTTTAAAATAACATTTCCAATCATTACTGAATTTGGGGCTGTAAATAATGCATCTCCAATTTATGGTGTATGTCCTTTAGCTTCCACTTATCTCAAACATTACACTAAACGATCATCGCTTGCTTCACTTCCCAACATATCATTCCCCTAAGATAATAAGCTCTTTCCTAATCTCCTATAGTATGGGCCAACTGTATTAAGAACAAAGGAATCAAATATTTAGAGAATCTTAACTTTGAACATAATTATTATGTAATTTTAATCAATTCTAACTTAGAAAAGAGAGCAATTTAAGTCTCCATTTCACAACAAAAGTATAAGCTATTATAAGAATCGATGTTTAATCATATTTGAATAATCATTCATTAACTGAATGACTTATTTAAAAAATTAAACTTTTTCTTTCTAATTAATTGTAATAGCTTAACTTCTTTTAATAACTAAATTTTAGTAAAAAAATAAAATATATATCCTTATAAATTTTGCCTGACATTATTACTATGTTTTAGAAACTATTTTAGAATGATTAAGAAAATTTAGTACGTTTACAAAAAATAATTATGCTTTCAATAATTTTAGTTTAAACAAATACTGGACAATATAGTTACAAAATCAAATACAATTAAAACAAATTTTGATATTAAAAATTCTGAAAATTCAAGAATACTAAAAATATGTAATAAATCTTTTAGAAATATAAACAACTATTTTTCATAAAGTATAAAGAAAGTCTGTAAAGGCTTGAATCCAGTTTTTGAATATCAATAAATTGGGTTAAATTAATCCTCTCCATTTTTAACTTAACTATATTAAAAGAATTATTTATTAAAATTTTCTTAAAAAGGAAAATTAAAATTTTTCAATTAATGTAGAATATATCATACTAGGAATTTTAGAGATCTTTATCGGATCTAATGTCTTAAGATTTATGTTTAAAAATTAATTAATTTAATTGAGTTAGAATTTAATTGATAAATCTCTAAAATAGAATGAAATTCTTTCAGTTATTTTTTTGAGTTTCTGTTTATTTCAATGAAGAAAATTACTCATAAAAATAAATAAATTTCCTTATTTTATCCAAATATTTAATGCATTCTGATTTTTAATTAATGTTATAAATATCGCTTTGATAAACTTCCATTAAAAAATGATATCTTAATATTAACCTATAAAGAAACTAATTCATATATAGTAATTGTTCATATTTATTATATAAATATAAGATATATAAATAAAATTTAAGTTTTTATTATGATTGACTAGATTGTTACTTCTTTGTCCTTTGATAAGTAAATATAATTGGAATTATTTTATAAATAAAAATTAAATAATTAAATGCTTCCAAAAATTTAAGGATAGGCAGTTGGAAGAAAAGAGAATTTGGCTTCTTAACAGATAGTAGAAGATCATCTAAAGAATATACTGAAAAAACAAGAAAATTAAGTAAAACAATGATTGAAATATGTACAGAATTATAAAGCATGGAAAACACCATATGCTCCTAAGAATCCTCATTCACCATTTGGAGATTTTCCAAGAGAATATTTACCAAAAGAAAAGGCAAATTAATAAAAATTAATTGAACCTGTTCATGAGACTTCTTAAAATGCATTAATAACAAGTAAAGAAGTTTTTGAGAATGATTAGATAAATATTAAGGAACTCATTAAGGAACAGGAGGAAGAACAAGCTCATAATTATAGAAGAAAGAAGAATATAGACCAGCACCACCAAAAGCAGGAGCTTATGATTAAAGAACAATATCAGTTTCAGATTTCAGAAGATATTATGATCGAGGCGATTTACCTATTAAAGTTCTAAATAAAAAAATATCAATAGGTTGATCATTAAGGAAGTGTAAATAGAATTTTGTGGAAAATATCTCCAGAATAATTAGATTATCATCATTATTTGCCAATATTTTTTGATGGATTAAGAGTATTTTGATAATTTTAAAATAAGGAAAAAATGGATCCTTACAGATTCTTAGCTATATTAGGAACATATGGATTACTAGAGAATGGAGGTAATAAAATATTGCCAGTTATTCCATAATTAATTATTCCAATCAAAAGTAATTTAAAGTTTTTAGATTAATAGCAAATTTGAATACTAGAGACCCAAGTATTATAGAAGTTCAATTAAAAGTGTTATAAAAATTAGTATTAAGTGGAGAAATGGTTGGGGAGGCATTAGGTAAATAGCTAGATCCAATAATTAGTACCTTACTATCGACAACTATTGCCTATCATGAATTTATATAAAAACAAAAATTCGAATTTAGGTGATTTTATTGAGTACAACCAAAGAAAACGAGTTAATATTGGTGACTTGATTTAAGAAACTTTAGAATTATTTGAATAAACAGGAGGAGAGGTAAGATTCTTAAATTGATAATTTAATAGGATGCTTACATAAATATTAAATACATGATCCCAACTTATGAGAGTTGCATTTTAAATTGAAAAAGAATAATAATATCTATATATCTATTAATGATTAAATAAATAATTCTCCATTATTACTTATTTTTATTTTCAAGCAAAAATTAAGTCTATTTATCAATCTACATACTTTATATATGAATAGATGTCTATAGATAAGAAAATTATATTTTTCTATCATTGATATTTTCATTCAAAATCTCAAATTATCAAAATAAAACTATTTTTTTAAGATCAACAACAATATGAAAAAAATGAAATTGATTATTTTTAATTTTATAATATCATATTATTATATGAAGAGAGAAGTAAGAATTATTTTTATTTGAATTAGTAGTTTATAATAAAATGTTAATTTAAATATTATCAATTGTTATTTTTTGACACTTTTACTTATATTCAATTTATTTATTATTTTACAATTATTGAATATATTTAAATTATGATATATAAAATATATTTATAAATTAAATATTGACCTTTACTGATTATATTGATAACAATATTAAAAATTTACAATTAGATAAACATATGATTATCTTATAATTATATTAAAGAATTTAATTTAGGTTTTAAGTATCAAAAAATTTTAAATGATATTTTCTAAAGATTAATTTTAATTTAAATTTTATTTTAACTTGCTCAACTAAGTATTCCTATACATATATAAATAATTAAGGTATCCTATTGATTGCTTATTCAGAAAACTTAACTTCAATTCACATTTATTTAATGTTTCCAGTTTTACAGTTTATATATAAAATTGATTGGAAAAATCAAATAAATTTCATATATGACAAGAAAGTATCCTTTAAGATTAGAATTTTGTTATTATTTTTCAGATATTAATTGAGTATACTCTAAAAAAATCATAAATAATATAACTAATTATCTTATTTTCATACTAATTTGTAAGTTGAATGGATTCTTGTTATTTTAAATAATAATAATTAAATAATGAATTCTTAAAAGAATATATACAATATTCAAAATTTCTTAATAAATTTAAGTCATTTAGTTCCCTCATATTAGATATAGTATATAGTATATAAAATATTAAATTTTTTATGGGTATTGCTATATTTTCAAATTTTCATTTACAACCTGTTCCACTCAAAAATTTAAGATAACCCCATTACATCTACTTGTAAACACTGAAATAATGAGCATCCTCTTATTTTAGTGGCTCATTAATGCAATTTAAATATTGATTTAATGGGAGAACTAGAAGCTGCACCGATCACAGTTTAAAATTATTGCAAGAAACTTAGAGATTAAAATTAGGTACTTAAACCTGCATTAGAAAGATTAGAGAATGAAGAACAAAATTTTCTTAAAATCTGGAACTTAACTGTTTCAATATTAAAGAATATTTCATCATAATAAAAGTTGCATTGTTGGACCCTTTATTTATTGAATGTCTTCCCATTATCTTCTATAATCTTTAAGAATAGTAAGAAGATTTAGAGATGTTAATTTACCATAAGAAAGAATAATAATAGATTAAAAGAGAATAAACTCATATTATATAAAGCAAAGTTATTAGAATAAATAAGAGACATTAAACCGATAAGATTTGAATATTTACATAATCAATATATCCTCAATAATCATTTTTATGATTAATTTAGATTTGTTTAATTTTTTTTTGGTTGATAAAATTTCAAAGCACTTGAATTAATTGAATATCTTAAGAATGTTGGAGGTGGTCCATCCTTTGAAATTTATCCAATATAAGATTAACAATTCATACACTAGAGAGCTGAGTACCTCTTTATTATTAAAATATTACATATTTTTCTTTTGTTTCAATAGTTTTTACACTATTTTTGTGATGCTTGAAAAATGATGCATAACCTGTTTATGATTAATATTTGTAATCACTTTAAAATAATGTATTTTAGCAATGAAAACATTAATAAACACCTTATTAATCATGCTTGCATAAAAGATGAAAATTTACATTCCAAAATTCTCCTGTAAAAGGTCTTTCCATGCCTTTTGCTACAGCTATCCAATAACGATGAGGATCCATTGACAATCTATCAAGTCTGATTTCTATTTTTTATTTAGGTTTAATAAGGTTTCTATTTATTGCTTCAATAATTTTAGAGAATTAAAACTTAATTTTCATTGTTTTTAATTTTACACATATAAAAAATATAATTAAAATATGTATTATTAAAACACTCTAGTTTTATAAGCATCAAATTAAGAATACTTAAATATATGAAATGTTAATTTAAAAGGGTTGTAATATATTTAAATACATTATTGAATAAATATCATAAAATTTAATATACATATAATAAAATTAATGTAAAAATAAAAATACAGAGATTCAAAAAGTTCTAAACATTTATATCAAATTTGGTAAACAGAGAATAAAATTTTGTGCAATGGAAAATTATTAACAGGGTATTAAAAAATTATATTATCACCTCTAGATCTGAAAATCATAAATTATTAGCTAGTGTTAGTTTTATAACAATTCCTTCATTTCTATTTTATATATTTATGTCCCCTGTAAAAAATATCAAAATATTAGGAATTTGCAAAAAATGGATAAAATGGTTATACAGTTGTATTTGTGTTGATCTAAATAACCATATATGTTTTTCTATGGTTTACAGTTTGTATGGATCCTGGAATCATACCTAAAATAGTAAGAATTTAAGTGATAAAAGAGACCTGAATATGAAATGAATGAGGAACTGTTGGAAGTCCCATAGAAATATTCAAAAGTTGATTACAGATTTATAATGGACTCAAAAATGTTTATAATAAAGGCTCACTAATTTAAATTAAAGTATTGCTCAACTTGTATTTAATATGATTTTATATTAGGTGCTATATATCGACCTGCAAGAGCCTCTCATTGTCCTTCTTGTGACAATTGTGTTGTTAGATTTGATCATCATTGTCCTTGGATTGGATAATGTATAGGAAGAAGGAACTATATTTATTTTTATTTTTTTATCATGTCAGTATCCTTTAAACTAATATTTGTATTTGGAGTATGTCTCTCTTATATTGTTGATGAATCTAAGAAAAGATCATCAAATATGGAAATATCAGATGCCATTTCAGAAACATTGGCTTATAATCCTGTAAGTATAATACTTGTAATTTATTCGTTTGGAGTAACACTTAATAATTTATAATTATAGTTTTCTTGTTTTGTTGTAGGCTTATGGTTATTTCATACTTATTTGGTTTTTACTAATATGACAACTAATGAATATTTGAAGAAACATTGGATAGTTGAAAGTTAAAATCCATTTAAAAGGTTCCTTATGTTTTCATAATTAGATAAAATATATTGAAAAACATTGTAAATGTACTTACTTGTATAACTTAACTGAAATTCTTAGAATTAAAGTAATTTGTCTATTAACCTAAAGAATATATGCAAGTAAATTATGAATCCTTATATATAAAAGAGCCCTATTAACACTTAGAACCACTTAAATGAAGTAAATGACTCCTCGAAATATAGGGAAGAAGATAAGATTTAAGTTGAATATAGAGGAAAGTAAATGCAATAATAAAATATTCAAATTATTTCAGAAATACAACCTTGATTAATATTATTAATTTAATAATTAAAATTTTATCTCTATAAATATCTCATTATGTAAAATTCCATTTTAATTATTCACTTTGATATTGAAGATTTCTTGGTACCAATCAATTCTTAAATTCTTTTTACTTATTCTGTTGTTTGTGTATTATTTAGTTATGTTGATATAGATTTTAAAAGGATAGCTGGCATTCTAGCTAAATGATGATGCAGAGCATTTTCAATCCAATCTAGACTTCTTAATTTATGCAATAAAAATTCGACTTAGGTAGAATCAAGTCTTTCTGTGCAAGGACCAGTTTTCATCATAGTTGATATGATAATCTAATCATCTAAAGAAGTTAATGCAGTGCAAAAAGCTTCATTTATATTATCTTTCTAAAATTAAATATAATAAATACTTTCAATTGTTCCTCAACTCTTAACATTATCTTCTATTATTCTTTAATTTTTGGATCCTATAATTAAAATTATGTCTATTCTTTTGTCTATTTGCTATCTTTGGTTAATATTGATTAATCTTAATTTCTTATTGGAGAAGCTTCTGAAAATGATTTTTAATGATTTTATCTGTCTTTACATTCTCCTTCACTCATTTTTCTTGAATTTGATTCAATATTTGATTCTCCTAATTTTTATTCTATTTATTCACTTTTTTATCCAAAAATAAATAAATCTTTCATTTTGGAATTCTGTTATTATTCTTAAATAACCAAATTTGATGAATTATTTAAAATTTAATCTTTTGATTGAATTTCTTAATGAATTTGACTTGGAATCATTTTATTTTCATAAATCTTGACTGATTCTACTTTCTATTTCAAGCAAATTAATTATTATTATTATTATTATTATTATTATTATTATTATTATTATTATTATTATTATTATTATTATTATTATTATTATTATTATTATTCTTAATTATTTAATTTTTAATTAATTGTTTCATTAATTTTCACTAATAATAATTCAATTTTATCAATCCTCTAGTTAATTTTAGAAAACTCCTACTTAGTTGCTTATTCAGATTCTTCAATTCTATTAGTAATAAGTTACTCATATTAATCTAATTACTTAGCTTTCACAGAATCACACAATTTCATTAGATCTGCTTATTATTTATTAGGTGTAGAAGAACTTATGTTAGAAGTTTAATATTCTTAACTTAAATTAAGTTATGCTTTTTTTGTACTGGATTCAAAACTATTTATTTTATAAGGCAACTACAAATATTAAAATTATTCTAAATGAGCAGATGCTAATACGTTTGATTCTGTCAAAATTTAAATGGGTTATTATTTCTTTTCATCAGTGTACTATTTATAATTGTATTTAGACTATTATGAATCACTTTTTAATTGTTATTCCTATTTAATAATCTATTGTTTTTCAGACACATTTTCTCTTGGCTTGTTCTCAACAATTTAAATATCTGAGTTTTTTTCAAAAAAACTTTAATTTGCATTTGATTTGAATACTGATTTATGTTCTCTTTAGGATGATTATTAAAATATATGAGATTCTTTTAATGAAGATATAGCAATTTAAGCAGCATCTCTGACCTACTTAATTTTATCAAATCTTAATTCATTAATCTTATTTGAATATAGTTCATTAGATCTAAAAAAACGAGGAAAAATAACACTTAATGTATACAATATATCTACTGCAATTTTACTAATCATAAAAAAAATGATACCGTGAAATCCATTCAGATGATTTTAAACAATTACAAATTGTATTTAAACAATCCTCTAAATTAGGCTCAAAAATCTCCTCTACAGTTAAGATTATACATAAAAGACTTTCTAATAATCCTTATTATGTTTAACAATGAGGTGATCTAAGTAGAAATTATAAATTACTTTAATATCTCTAAAGTTCTTTAAGTATATTATTTACAAACTAGTTCTAATAATTGTGATTAACTAGTTTTGATAATTCTACATAGAGAAGCAGCACTTATTAACTAAGCCACTTTGTTATTATGTGCAAAATTAGATTGCAATAATTCAGTGATTTAGAAGAATAAATCAAATTTATTTGGAGAATTTTAGATTGTAAATTCATTTATATTAGCAAAAGTATCTTAGATGACTTNATTATTATTATTATTATTATTATTATTATTATTATTATTATTATTATTATTATTATTATTATTATTATTATTATTATTATTCTTAATTATTTAATTTTTAATTAATTGTTTCATTAATTTTCACTAATAATAATTCAATTTTATCAATCCTCTAGTTAATTTTAGAAAACTCCTACTTAGTTGCTTATTCAGATTCTTCAATTCTATTAGTAATAAGTTACTCATATTAATCTAATTACTTAGCTTTCACAGAATCACACAATTTCATTAGATCTGCTTATTATTTATTAGGTGTAGAAGAACTTATGTTAGAAGTTTAATATTCTTAACTTAAATTAAGTTATGCTTTTTTTGTACTGGATTCAAAACTATTTATTTTATAAGGCAACTACAAATATTAAAATTATTCTAAATGAGCAGATGCTAATACGTTTGATTCTGTCAAAATTTAAATGGGTTATTATTTCTTTTCATCAGTGTACTATTTATAATTGTATTTAGACTATTATGAATCACTTTTTAATTGTTATTCCTATTTAATAATCTATTGTTTTTCAGACACATTTTCTCTTGGCTTGTTCTCAACAATTTAAATATCTGAGTTTTTTTCAAAAAAACTTTAATTTGCATTTGATTTGAATACTGATTTATGTTCTCTTTAGGATGATTATTAAAATATATGAGATTCTTTTAATGAAGATATAGCAATTTAAGCAGCATCTCTGACCTACTTAATTTTATCAAATCTTAATTCATTAATCTTATTTGAATATAGTTCATTAGATCTAAAAAAACGAGGAAAAATAACACTTAATGTATACAATATATCTACTGCAATTTTACTAATCATAAAAAAAATGATACCGTGAAATCCATTCAGATGATTTTAAACAATTACAAATTGTATTTAAACAATCCTCTAAATTAGGCTCAAAAATCTCCTCTACAGTTAAGATTATACATAAAAGACTTTCTAATAATCCTTATTATGTTTAACAATGAGGTGATCTAAGTAGAAATTATAAATTACTTTAATATCTCTAAAGTTCTTTAAGTATATTATTTACAAACTAGTTCTAATAATTGTGATTAACTAGTTTTGATAATTCTACATAGAGAAGCAGCACTTATTAACTAAGCCACTTTGTTATTATGTGCAAAATTAGATTGCAATAATTCAGTGATTTAGAAGAATAAATCAAATTTATTTGGAGAATTTTAGATTGTAAATTCATTTATATTAGCAAAAGTATCTTAGATGACTTGTAAGAAAGAAGAGTCCCCTATTATAAATTATATATATATATGTTTATACCTTCCTAAATTCTTTTATTTATTATTTGAATTATCCTTGTTATTTATTCTTGGATCTCATTACCTCTTATTTCAGCTAAAATACCAAAGACTTTAATATAATCCTTCTTTGCTTATTTAGATAAATCATTTGAGTCAAGGAGATTCATTAAAATTATGAATTAATGTTATGACAATTATGCAATCAATGATCTCAATTCATTAAATCCTGTCTAAGCAGTACTTTGGGAACTAAATATAAGTTTTTATTCATACTGTAATTTAGCTAATGAAGTCAATAGAATAGTTCTTAATTATTAATTAGAATCATAAGAACTTTATTTACTTCTGGATTTATTTATAGCGCTACTATTCATTTTAAATTTATTTATAATATAACTGCTTGACTATAAAAACAGCTTTCATAAAATGTATTTTTTTGTAATCAATTTTACAAAGTCTTCATATCTGATTTCCAAGTCTTTATCTGGATTTGCTTCTTTTATTAATTAATTTGCTTCTTCTTCAGTCAATCTTTCCCCCATAGATTTTACCATATGTCTTAATTCATTAGCATTTATTGTTCCTTTATTAGACTTATCTAATAATCTAAATGCATCCATTAATTCCTCTTCTGGATCCACATCTCTATGTTTTCTTGCCATTAAACTAAAAAATTCTGGAAAATCAACCATTCCTGTAGAATCAGGATCTACATCGTTTTTCATTTCATTTATTTCTGCCTCGGTTGGATTTTAATTCAATGATCTAATTAATAAACCCAAGTCATCTACCTTTAAAAATATAATTTAACTATATATACTTTTATTTTATTATCACCATCTTTATCAAAGAGAGAGAACGCTTCCTTATAATTGGCAATTTAATCTTCTGTTTATTATTGATCCATTAATTTAAATAATATAATGCTTAAATCGTGGGATTCATTCATGACAGCAGCTTTGGATTTACTTATGGAATCCCCTTAAGCTAGAGCAAAAGTCAAATACTATAAAATAAAGTAATTAGCCTTACTCACAGTCACAGATGATAAAAAGCATTGCATCTTCAAATCAAGAAACGTGGATGAGATTGAGCAGTTTATTAAATTGACTAGCAAACTCATGTTAAATGTTGATCCAAATGAAGTGAAAGAGGAACCTTAAGATGTAAAAGCAGATAAAAAATAAGGCAAGAAAAAAGGAAAGGGAAATAAAAAATGAATTTTATAGATCTATATTATTTTATTATTTATTTTCCTTATAATTTATTTATATTATATGAAAGAAGAATAGAAATTATTTTTTATTAGATCAGTTTGTTTTAATACCTAATACAATTTAGAATGAAATATTATGAATTAAATTAGAATTATTTTATTTTATAAATTCAATTCAATTATCTCTTGTTCCATTGGCTTTAGATATTCAAATAATTTCATTTATTCTGCTAATAATAATATAAAGATGAACAATTATAAATTAATTTATTTTAATGAATATTTCTAATTTAAAATTTTTATATAAAAATAATTAGTAGGAATTAAAGAATTCCAAAATTCAGAATTTATCAATTCTAGTAATATAAAGCTTTAAGAATTATTCTTAATTCCATTAATAATATTAGTTAAATGACAGATAAACTTTAATCAATAGGTAACATAGTCTTAGATTTTAGGAAACAGAGAAGAATAATTAGTAAATACAGATAATAGAGCTGAATTTTCATTAGGAAAATTTACACCAATAGAACTAGCTTGGGATAAACTTATTATAAATGCCACCATAAAAGTTGGAAATGTAATTCCTATATATATATTTAAGACTTCAACAGAGAAATGCTTGCTTAATAATCTTAAAGGAGTGATGAAACCTGCTCATTTTACTGCTATTTTAGGTCCATCAGGATCAGGAAAAACTACTTTATTAAACTTTTTATCAGGTCGTTTAATATCTGACAATCTAAAAATATCAGGAGAACTATCTTTGAATGGGAAAAGAATTAATGACATTGATAAATTTAATGATTAAATGGCTTATGTCATGCAAGATGATATTTTATTAGCTACTTTCTCTCCTAGAGGTATAAGATAATCTAATTATTTTAGAGGCATTTTATTTTTCAGCTAATATGAGATTAACAATAAGTGCAGAAGAAAAAGCATAAAGAGTAGAAGCTTTGATCAGAGAATTAGGAATAACTAAATGTGCAGATACTAGAGTAGGAAATACATAAATTAGAGGAGTATCAGGAGGTGAAAGAAAGAGAGCTAGTATAGGAGTAGAATTATTAACAAATCCAAGCCTCATTTTTTTAGATGAACCTACTACTGGTTTAGATTCATCTACTGCCTTATAAGTGATTGATCTATTAAAGAGATTGGCCAAAAATGGTCGTACTATAGTAAGTACTATCCATTAACCTTCATCTGAAATCTTTAATAATTTTGATAGACTTATGCTTTTAGTTAGAGGAAATATTATTTATTAAGGAGATGCAGAATAAGCTATTGATTATTTTGCTACTATGGGATATTCATGTCCTAATTTTTCTAATCCTTCAGATTACTTTATGAAATTAATGAATGAAGAAGGATTATTAGTAGAAAAGATACAAGCAGGAGAATCTGATGATTTTGATGATGCTTAAATAAAGGCTGAATTTGAATAGAGATTAGAAGGATTTATTCAAAATTATAAAAATTCAAATATGATTAAAGATTTAGATACTCATGAAACTGCATTAATTAAAGAAAATGATGCTGGATTTCACATTGGATTCATTTAATAATTTGTACTTATTTATTAAAGATCATTTTTAAATGAAATTAGAAATCCAATGGATGTAAAATTGAAAATATTTTAATCTATTGTAAATGCCATTATGTTAATGCTTGTTTATTCAGATGTATAATAAATTAAATATATTTTTAGTTGGGTAAATATAATGAAGGATTGTAAAATAGATTTGGAGCTTTGTTCTTTATTTGTACAGCTAATGCATTTGGAGGAATTTAAGGAGCTTTACATACATTTTCAATGGAAAGACCATTATTTTTAAGAGAAAGAATAAACAAAACTTATAGTGTTCATTCATTCTTTTGGGCAAGATCACTTGCTGAATTTCCATTCTAAATAGTTTACCCTTCTCTTTGTGTTATAATAGTTTACTATGTTATTGGATTAAGTGATGAAAATGTAGGCAAATTCTTTATGCTAATTTTCATCTAATTTTTAACATATTAATATGCAGTTTCATATGGATTACTTTTATCAACCATCATACCAAAGATTGAAGTAGCAACAGCATTAGTCCCTGCATTAGTTATTCCATTTATGATTTTGGGAGGATTCTTTGTTAACTAAGATAATATTCCTTATATATTCTATCCTTTCACATATTTATCAATGTTCAAGTATGGATTTGAGGCATCTGTCATTGTAATATATTTAATGTTATTTTTAGAATGAATTTGATGATGTAAACTATGAATGTTTACCAGGTTAACCATGTGATCCAGTTGAAATGTTATCTATAACATTAACAAAATGGGAATGTTGCTATATATTAATTGGATTAGCTATAGGAATCAGAATGTTTGCCTATTTAGCACTTCATTTAATATCCAGTCCAGAAAAACCAAAATTATAACCTCCTGAAAGCATGTAAATAAATAACAAACCAAAATGACTTTTTTTGTTTATTTATATTATTAGTTATTTTTAAATATGATAAAATAAAGTAATTAGAAAGTTTCTTACAATAAGTCCTTAATTTTTAAGGTAAACTAAATAACAATCTAAAATATCATATAATTAATCCTACTTATGTTAGTAAGATAATAGAATTGGTTCTTAATAAAAAATCATAAGAAAATTTTGTATGTGGGCATTTTAGTTGTGGAACTAGCATATTAACAATAGGATTATTAGGTTTCAATTTATCTGATGTATTTACTTATTAATTTATTGAAAAAGTAGCTAAGATATTTATAGATATTATAAAAAATGCTTGATTGAGCGTTTGATATAATTATGAATCGTCCATTTGCTAAAAAGTAAGCAAATATTGATACAGTATTTTTAATTTAAGCATAACAAAATTAAAATGAGGATGTCTACTCATATCCATAAATAATATTAAGAGAAGTTAGATATAGAAAATAAAGAGCTTTATATTTTATAAAGAACTTTTATTTCCTTTGCATAAATAATATTTAAATATCACAAAAAAGGTTTAAAGACTATTTTGTTTTTATAATACATCTTGCCTTTAAGTAAGTTAAATTTCATTTATTTATGACAAAATTAGGTCATAAATAGAAAAATAAGAAATGGTTTTTATTATAGATCCAAGTAATAAATATACTAATTAACATTTTTCTCAAAGGAATAAAATAATTTAATAATATCTGAACATACATTTAACTTAAATTATGTATTTATTTCAACAGAATCTATTCCTTTAAAATATATCACAACATTTATGTATAATTAAATCAAAAGTTAATAATTTTCAAATTTGATTAAGAAGAGTTGATAAAAAGTAGAATAAATTAAGAATTCATCATTTTAAAAATTTTATCATATCATGAGAGGATGAATAAGTAAAGAAAATAGAAATTAATAAATTCCAAAAGTTGACTTATATATAATATTTTTTTCATTATTAAACTTATTCTCTTATTTTGAAATACTGATTTAAATCTTTCTTCATAAATAATCCACATTCTAAATAATAATATTTTAACAAATAATTATTCTTTTTAAGAAAAAGAAATCTAGCTATATTTGAAATAACAAAAGCAAGTTTAGTTGATCAAAATCTGCAGATTAATTATATAAATTACTTATATTGCTTTATTTATATAATTAAAATTAATTATGTAACCTTCAGTGACTTATTTTGAACTTTAGACTCTCCTTTTCTTGATCATTATTGGAATGATCTTGATTTCTCTGAATTACTTTTAAGATCCAAAACTAAAGGAATCGAAAGTAATTTATAATCAATTAATAGAAAGTTAAAAATTTGGAATCGGATGATCATGAATTATGAAGGCATTTAATTAACGATAGATGAAGAATAACTTTTAAAATAAACATTTAAGAACACTCTTAAAAATCGTAAAGTAGCAATCAGTCCTTCCATTCCTAGATAAATAAAAACTACAAAAAGAGTCAGCTTTTAAAATTTGGATAACATACTTTGAAAATTATCCTTTATTGATTTTCTTAAATTAGAATGATTACAATTATATCCATAGTTGTTATCTTTTATATTTTAATAATAAGTCATATATATTTATATTTTCAAGTCAACATTCATATTATTTAACTATAAAATCTCTAAAATATTATAAGTTAATTAATAATAT